AATTTTATTTCTTCTAGAACTAAGAGAGAAGCAGGGTTTACTGCCAAATTCTAGAGAAGTAGATGCCACTTCCAATGGGCTGTCCCAGAATTATTTACACATGAACATATGAACTGTATTTTGTGAAAAGAATTTCTATAGAGCATTTGACTAATTCTCCTTCACGGAGATAAGTGAAAAACCTTTGTCTCCATCTTTTGGAACCATCCAACTGACCTGGGGTGACTTACACAACCAGTTCAATTCAGGATTGAGCCAGTTAATACCAGGGAGCAATCTAGTCCCTCTTCCTAGAACTTGACGTATTCATTCATTCATTCATTCATTCATTCATTCATTCATTCATTCATTCATTCAACATGTGTTAGGTATGCAACAGAAGCAAGGCTTGATGATTGGTGCTACAAGAAAAAGAGTGCATAAGAAGTCTTTGACTTGGAAAACAGATCTTAGGCTTTAGGGTCACCAAGTCCTATGCGGAACTCTGACCATGATCTTCTGGATAATAAAAAATTGGTCAAGTTACTTAACCCATACATCTCAGTAAAGGAAAAGGAGGATAATATTATCAGTCTTTATGGTTAAGTTGAGAGATATAGATGAAATGATATGTGAAGCAGGTGCAGCATAGGTGATTTAAAAATAGTTCCTGTTACTGAGGCTGGAAGGAGATTGTCCTCAGTCTCCTGGAAGTTGGTCTGGTGAGAAAGGTGACATGTGAAACCATATACAATGATATAATGCACAGAGAGCACTGTGGAAGCCCAGTTTCCTCATGGTCAGGAAATCACAAGCAATAATGTGTTCTTGGGCAAGTCATTTAATATCTTGAGTCATAGCTCTTCTATTTAAACAAGTGGCTAAAATGATGATATTGAGCCTTGACTACTGAGTACACATACCTTGACTATCTGGAACTACCCCAAAAAGGTGTGCCCTGCAATTTCATGCTATGAAAAATCTATTCAATTAAAAAAATGATTTCAATACACACCCTTATTAATATCCTAGTAACATAAGCAAAACAGAAGAGTGGCTCATTGTTGCACATGATAGAAATTTTCGATATTGTCTAGAAGTGTGTGTGTGTGTGTGTGTGTGTGTGTGTGTGTGTGACACAGCCAACTGAGCCTCCTGATCAGTCCTCCACAAGGCCCTTCCCTGTGAGTCTTGTTGTTGTATTCTACATGTTATGCTCATTTGGACCCCACATTCAGTTTGTAGATTGGCACTGCTATATACAAAAGCAACAATTCCCACTGCAGAACTCAAGGGAAATAATACCATGGAGACTGGTGATGCGAATTTGAATAAAATAGTACAGATTTGTTCCTTAGTAATTTTCTTTTTGTTTTGTAAGTATTATTAATAATATTTTCATTCCATGTGTGGAGTTGGTACATGTACACATCACATCTTAATTCCTTTTTTATCTACCTTCCCTTCCTTCCCCCTCTATCTCTTGATCCCCTTGGAGAAAGAGGTATCTCTCTGCTTCCTATTATTTATCTTTTACTTTGCTCTTTATTCATATTTTAGGCTTTTCATATAAAAGAAATGATGTGATATTTAAGCTTGTGTATCTGATTTAGTCATTTAATATGGTTTCAAGGTGCATCTATTTTCCTATAAATGACTCGTTTAAGTAATTTGTAACAACAGTGATAAAGAATACATTTCAAGAACAGATGTTATTCTAAAATGAAGGATTGTGAATACTTTATCTCTTCTAAAATGCAAACATTTCCAATTTTCCTGTATAAAAATGCTATCCAGTATAATTGTGGAATTAAGAGGATTTAGAAGAAATAAACCGATTAGAGCCAGTGGGCTATAAAGATAATATTCTCTGTTCTCTTTTTTTAAATGTTTCCCCCTTCTCTTCAACACTCACATTTCCAGATCTCTTTTACTTGTTTTCCTCTTTTATTTTCCCCTTATCTACTCTTCAACACACACACACACACACATACACACACACACATACACTTCTAAGCAATACTTCAGAGGGGCCAATTGTGCCATCATATAATGGAATTTGAACTCTTTATTGAGTATACAGATAAACTAATTGTTTCTATATTAATCTGGAGAATATCCAGCAAATAGTTGGACATGTACATAATTTTTCTTTTTATCACTGAAATATACATTTAAAGCATATCTAGTTTGAAACTTGAAACTTCTACCTTATGCTAAAGCATGTTTTCCAAACTGTGTTCCATGGAATATTAGTGTACTTGGAAATGTTAAGAGGTTTTTTAAATTCTGTGGTTAGGATCCCATGGGAAAATACAAGTTGACAGTTCAAAGACTATGAGAATTCTTGTGTTAAGGAAACCTATTTACTTCTCTTCATATCGGAAAGTCACACTTTCTTTTTTGATGCTAGAACTGTCATTAACTGAATAATCCAAGGAACACACTTTGTGAAATATTGATCTAGTGTTTCCTGAACTTATAAGGCTGGCTAGAAAAGTAAAGTTGAATAGTTAAGTGCAGGTTGTTTTGCTTTATTCTCTTGATAAATGAGACAAGTAAGCATTGTTGAAGGTTTCCACTGCAAAATAAGTGGAAGGGTAAGAATTAATCTCTTAATTCTGGCAAAGGCTGAATTGTTAATGGAACAATCTTTTGAGAGGGTATAAATTATTATTTTTATTTCTTAGAGAATACAAAATAGTGTTAGAAAAAAAGCATTAGAAATGATACGAAATTTCACTAAACAAAGTAATAGGAATTCAACAGCTGTTGCTGTTTTGCATGACTTTATCTTCAAGTTAGTTGCTCAGGTTGCCACATATAATGTGCAAGATTGGTTTAAAGGAAAAGAAACCCAAAACAAAACCATAACAAAAAGTTGTAAGAAATTCAAAATTAAAAAAAGAATAAAAAGAGAAAAAAAGCATGTCTTTTTCCCCTTCTTTTGTTCATTTCCTCATCCAAGTTTTTCCTTCCCGTTGAAGAAATTCTTTCAATTTTGCAGTTATAAATTATTTTTAAATCAGTTAATTCTTTCTGTGAAGACCAAAGTTGACCAATTTAGCCTGAAATTTTAATCCAAGAGGTTTAAAAATTGATCAACTCAAAGATTCACTCAAAAGACCAAATTAGGCCGTAATTTCATCCCTTTTAAAAGTGAGACTTTGAATGAATTTGATATGCAACTAGTAATGATATTGCACATATCACAGAAACAAGAACTTTGCAGATAACTAAATCTATTTTAGAACAGAGGCTAGCCTACTGACTCAACAAATATGTCACTATGCGCTGTGTTGTCTATAGTCCACAAGCATCAGGAGGCCCATCTTGAATTCTGAGAATACAAAATATAGTACACTCTACCTGAAAGAAAAATAGTAATATAGGTGAGCACAGTGCAAAATGTTTCTTAGATCCAAAGTAGAGATTTGCTGATAAAGAATGTAGAAAAACAAAAAGACAGCATTGGCAGTACCCTGGTGTGGGCTGTGGGAGCCTAGAAGTGCCTTGTTGAATCCTGTGTACAGCCTCATGAGTAGAAGACAAGGTATATCCTGCAGATTTCCTACTTGGGGAAATATTCTGGGCTTATCTCCATTTTTAGAGGGACCAGGTTGCCCGATATTAACCCTGGTGATGGTATTTTAAGGTCTCTACTTCAGGCTCCTGAGTCAGTTGGCCTCAGCTTTCGATAAACTTGAACCACGTTTTTAAATGGGCAAAGCCAAAGACCTGCTTCTGGCTTGTAATCACTTCGCTCCCTTTGGAGGAGCGCCAGGCAAGAAACACCAAGAGGGTTTAACTGGGAGCTTTATTTCCCTTAGCGTTGATGGTTACCAGAGTGACTCTGAATTCTGCGGTTAACACAGCCAGAAGCCTACTTCATGGAAAGTGTCTTGAAGTGTGACAGATCTGAGTTGTACTGCAAGCTCTGCCACTGGGTGACTGCATTTAAGTCAATTAGCTTCTCCAAACTGCAGTTTCCCATCTGCAAGATATAAACTTCCATTACAATATTGAAAGGAGATTACATGGGTGGATGATGATATATGTAAAAGATGTGGGCCAAATCTGTATGAAATGGTAATAACGTGGTATTTAAGGGGGAAATGCCAAGGAGGGAGGGAAAAAGGGAAGGGAAGGGAAAGAGGGAGGGAGCGGGGAGGGGAAGGGTGTGGGAGAGAGGAAAAAGATCTACGCTTTTCCTCCCAGTGAAGGAGCGGAAGACCACTAGATAGTCCCCCAGGGAGAACCTTTGGTGGAGAGAGTGGGAGGAGCATAAAAGTGGAGGCTTCCCAGGACAAGTTGTTAACGCTCCAGGCATCTGGAGCACCTCAGAAAGTCTATCAAGTTCCTTGCAGCCAAAAGAGATTAGAATCACGTGCTGCAAGACAAGCGGTGGAATCACCGTGGCCTCCCCCTTGGGCTGTTCCTCACTCCGTTCATCTCCCACCCAGGTTGTCGACGTTGCACCTCAGCTGCTAAGCGCCAGGGCGCCCCGGCAACCTTGGGAGGGGGTTTCCCTCCAGCCCAAGCAACTCCCGCCTCTCGCCTCGGCTCCGACTGACCAATCAGCTCCCGGAAAGCGGGTCGGGGCAGTCGCCGAGTGGTCCGTGGGGGCTGACGTCACAGATGAGAAAGGCGGGGTTGGGGCCGGCGAGGGTCGAGTCGGAGCTTCAGTGGGCGGTGGTGGCGGGTCCGAGACCCTTCGCTCTCACCTCCCCCTTCACCGCTCCCTTCTCCGCCCCTCTGCAGGCATCCGCCGACAGGTGAGTGGTCTGGGTGACACCTACCTGCTGCCGGGATGACCCCGAAGAGACCCTCTCACCAAACAGGGCTCCACCGTCTGTGCTCAGAATCCCGGGAAGGTCGCAGAAACCCTGCACAGCCCTTCACTTCTCTAGCTCACTTATTCTTCTCAAATCAAACCCCTGCACACCCACGGACATCTACCTAGTCTCTGTCCCCTCATAGTTTGTCTTTCTGATGCCTTTCAGTGATCGTGTAATTATTTTAAAGGTGGCACCGGCAAAAGGCGTCCAGACCTCCGCGTGTCCGTCCATTAGCCGGTTTCTCTCAGCCCGGCAGCATCCTGTGCTGTGCACCCGGGTGTCAGCCGCCCCGAACGCTACCCCTTTGGCCCCGTCATCGTTAGTCCAGATTCCCAGCTGCATCCCAGGGCAAGATGCAGAGTCTCTGAAATTCAGGCTGGTGGTCTGTCAATGGCCAGGAAGCTGTGGCGTGTGTTTTGACAATTTAGACCAAGCCCCTGTGTGTTTTCTCCTGGACTCTTGTTTTGTTGTAGACAAACAGTTTAGAGGCGGCTAAAAGGATTCACTTAGTCATTTTGGAAAAAAGAAAACGAGTAGGCTTATTAATAGAAAAAGTGCTTTGAGGTATTTGATAACATTCTTTTTTCTTTTTAAAAATGAAATAGCAAAATAAATAGAGTGAAAAAGCATCCATGCATCCAGTCCTAAATTCAAACAAACAACTAAGCCACATAAAACCCATAAAAGCACAATTATAATTGAGGCATTCATTTTCCTTTTCTCTTCCTATTCTCCCGTCCCCCCACCCCACCCCACCCCACCCCATGGCTGGGAATAGAACCCGGGCTGTTACACCCCTGAGCTACATCCTCAGCCCAAGGCCTCTTACAGTAGCCCTTGGAGACCCATACCCCTCTCTCCTTCCCTACTGTACTCACAAGCCAGAATATAACGTTTACTTATACACTATACACGTTTTACTTTTATTACATAATATTTAAAAAGTTAATATAGCATTAGTGCTATACATGTTCTAGGTCATTCATTTTAACTGTGGTGTGGTAATTCTATTTATTTAGTACTCGTGGCTTATTAATTTTTATTTATTTACTGAGTTTTATTTTGAAAGAATTTCGTAATTCTTGTATGAAATTGTCACAAATTATGCATGTATTTGTGCACTGTTTGTGGACTAGATTATTCCCTTTAGAAAAATGTGAGAAATTCATATGCATTCTGGTTGTATACATAGTATTCTGGTATGCATCAAGAATTAGGGTGCCTGAATTGCAGGGAATGTGCCGTTTCAAGCTTACTAGGCACTGCTACAGAGCAATCCAGTGCTTAGCAGTCTACACACCATCATTATGTAATTATTTTCCAATTTTTTTTTACCAGAATAAAGAGATTATCCAACTCTTCCTGTATTTTTATTTAACATATGTATAAAGCGTTATTACCAAAGCTTTAAAATCTGGTATAATTTCTTCTAATTCTGTATTAATGTATTGATGACAGTGTTTTAGTTCTACTTCAGTTTAGAACTCTGAGTGATCAGGTGAATAGAGCCAAAAGAAGGGGATTGATTGGATGTGGGTGTTTCAAGCTATGCTTGCCACTACTCAGAGGAAGGTTGTGGAACAAATCTGGTAAACTTTCTGTACTTGTGTGTTTTGCAGAAAAAGATCTGTTGGTTTTTATATTTTAAAATATTTATAATCCTAAAGTTTTGCCTAAATGTGGTATCAAATATGTGCACTCGCCTTGAGCCCATCTGTGTTTTGAATTGTGATGGAATGGAGCTTTCCGATGCTTACTACCTCTGTGAGATTGATCCTCCTTTGAGTATGTTCGTATGTGCAGAGGGCAACTCTTGAATTTTTTTCAGTATGTACATGCCTATTGACTACACATTAAATGAACATAGTTAAATGCTGTTTCCCTCTGTAGCCCATTCCTCACTTCTTAAAATGCTTTTTGGTATAGCAAAAAGCAATCATATGGTCTAGGGGATAGATTTT